AAAAAAAAAAATAGATACAAAACATATATTTTCTCTCTCTTATTAAATTATTTAGAAGGATAAAAACTTATATATATAATAAATTATGAATAATGATTTAAAAAATTAATAATAAAATAATGTATGACAACAAAAAAAAACCACCTAAAAAATTATCCTGCTGAAAATATAAAAATATAAAAATATATAAAAGATCTGATGTAATCAAAGATTTATTTTTTTTGAGCAATAAATCTATGGGAAGTTCTAAACGTTGTAAACTGATTATATTCCAGTTCTGCCATTTCCATCATATTATCATATTCTTCCTCTGTTATATTAAGATGGGACATTATCTGTTGCTTCATCTTGGATGAAAGATGGCGTATGTAGGAAACCCCAAACTCTCCTGTTTTACCTGCCCACGTTCCAATTGGAGAAATAGCAATTTCATGATTTATACTTGAAACTTGGTTATCACCAAGTAACCAATCTTCGAATTTCTCACAAATTGAATTATTCATATTTATTGCAAGCACTAATATAAATTATGAAACGTTTATGAGAAATGTGTCACAATAAATTAATGAGTAAATGAACAATTTTTACTTACAGGCTTGATTCATTTTTTCTAAATTTTTACCACATCTAGAAAGCTCCGAATCATTTTGCATGATTTCTAACCAAGAACCGGACTTTGTAAGACGAAGTAATTCTCGCAAGACTGTTTCTTCCCATTCCTTTTGGGAAAATGAATCCCCTACCAGTCTTGCGAATACGAGGTCAAATGTGTTATCTTCAAAGGGTAAACCCTCGATTATATTTCCGAGGGAAAATTTTAAATTTTTTTCATGGTGGTTTGTTGGAAATATTGGTGCTATATCTACCCCTATAAAATTACTTTCAGGGTAATGTTTGGCCATTTCTAACGACCAGGTACCAGCGCCGCAACTATGTTTAATAAATTTTAATTTAATTAATTTAATATTATAAATATTATATATATACATGTATGATGTGTATAATATATACTTACCCAATATCTAATACATTTGCGCCACCTCTTTTAAGAATTTCTTCAACAGGAGAAGAGAAATTATTTTGCCACAAATGCCTTATTAAATAATGTGGATCTTCAAGCCACATTTTTTTTTCTTCGGTAGTTGCCGGTAAAGGATATTTCATTTCACCGCTCCTAGATTTACTGGCAATAATAAATTTCCTACCAAAACTAGTAGGGGTAGTTTGTGGATCTTGTCCTAAACAAGCAGGTCTCCTACGTCCATTATATTCGTCTCTGATTGAATTTGTATTCAATCTTCTCAACGCGTTGCCCATTTTTATGATCTATAATGATGGAGTGAAAAAAATATTTTATCGTAATATGAAAAAGTAAATCTTAAATTATTCTTAAATTTTCGTGATGAAAAGAGGTGAGAGGAATATCGAATTTTTAAAGGTAAAAAAAAGGGGGGAAGGAAAAAAAAAATGACGAGATTATTAGATATGAAAAACAAAGAAAAAGGAAAAAAATATATATATAATTTTTTTTTTCTTTTTCAACAAATCAAACGATTTCGAAAGAGCGAGAAGTTTTTTTTTATAAAAAAAAAAAAAAAAAAT